CAAGAGTCCAGCATAGATGAGATAGGGATGCAGACAGTATTATAACTATGGAGAGGAAATATCATAATGCAGAAAAGGATTTCGATCAAATAGCAAAGAAAAATAAAAAGGTGGGACCAAAAGGAACAGAAGAACTTATCTCAATGGTGGCGATTGGATTGCAGTCCCGTCGAGAATAATAAGATGCTTAGCATGGAACTGCCGTGGGCTTGGAAACCTCCGTGCAATTCAAGCTCTTCGCGAGCTGTCGAAAAACCAAGATCCCCATGTAGTATTTTTTACGGAAACCAAACTACAAGCAAAAAATTAGATAGAATAAAGAATGGATGCCGAATGTAGGGATGCTTTGGATGGGACTCGAATGGAAGTAGTGGGGATTTGGCGATGTTTTGGAAGGAGGATATTGATCTGAGCTTGCTTAGTTTTTCTAGAAACCACATTGATGTGAAAGTGAAAAACGAATTAGGTGGTGACTCATGGAGATTGACAGGTTTTATGGCAAACTGGATGCAAGGTGTAGGCATGCTGGATGCAAGGCGTAAGCATGAGTCATGGGCATTGCCACGAAGCTTAGCTGGGCAAGATAATGGGGCGTGGTTATGCATAGGCAATTTCAACAAACTGCTATGGAGTCACGAAAAATCTGGTAAAAACTTGAGAAATGAAAACCAGATGGTGATGTTTAGAGAGACACTAGAAGATTGTGGGCTAGACGACTTGGGTTATGTTGGCCAATGGTACACGTGAGAAAGGGGGAGGACTCAGGAAACCAACGTTCGTAGTTGTGGAAATAAGAAATGGTGTTACTTTTTCCTTAATCATGAAATATATCATCTGGTTGCGTTAGTTTCTAATCACATCCCCATCATGGTAAGCACTCAAGCGAATACTAGGTCAGGGAAAACTAGAGCCAATAAACGAAGGGTGAGGTTCAAGGCTATGTGAATGAAAGAGTAGGCCTATAAAATAAAGGTGAAAATGGCTTGGGACAACACAAATTTAATTCCCTTAACCAAAAAGCTGGAATGGTCAGCAAAGATGTCAAGAAGTGGTATGGGACCAACTTTGGACATGTTAGGACAAGGATTTCAAGACTCAAACAGCAGATTAAGCAATTGAGTTTGGACCCACCAACTACAGAAAGCCTTGCACGGATTATTAATTTGCGTGAATAGTTAAATATTTGTTTAGAAAGGGAAGAAGTTTATTGGAGGCAGAGGTCGAAAGTTCAATGGCTCAAAGAAGGGGATAGGAACACGGGGTTTTTTCATGCCAATGCATCGACCAGGAGAAGGACAAATTTCATCAAGGGATTACTAGATGAAAATGAAGTTTGGCGTGAGGAAGAAGAAAATATTGCACAAACTGCCACCGGATATTTTAAAGGGGTGTTTAAATTTAAGAGTAAATTGAACTTTGAGATTCTGTTGGAGAATGTTGAACCTTGCATCACTATTAAGATGAATGAACTCCTCGCAGACTTCAACGAATAGGAAATTCACAAAGCAGTTAAACAGATAAGTCCCAACAAATCACCCGGTCCTGATGGTATGCCCCTCTCTTTTTTTCAAAAATATTGGCATATCGTCGGGGAAGATGTCACTAGATTTTGTATGTCTTGCCTTAAGGGGGAAATGAATTTATGTATGATTAATAGACCCAATATTGTTTTAATTCCCAAAATAAAAGAACCTAAATACATATCCCAGTTTAGGCCTATTAGGTTATACAATGTGATTTGTAAAATTATCTCCAAAGTATTAGTTAATAGGTTGAAGATTATTCTCCCATTTTGCATAAGCGAAACTCAAAGGGCTTTCGTACTAGGTAGATTAATCTCTGGTAATGTATTAGTGGCCTACAAACTTATGCACCATTTGAAAACTAAGAAACATGGAAGAGAGGGATTCTTTGCTCTAAAGCTTGATACGAGTAAGGCGTACAACCGGGTGGAGTGGAATTTTCTTGAGGCAATAATGTTTAAAATGGGGTTTCATTCTAGGTGGATTTCTAATCTGATGAATTGTGTTAGAACAATTTCCTATTCGCTTGTTGTTAATGGAAGGATCACTAATGAAATTTTTTCAAAGAGGGGGCTCCGTCAAGTAGACCACTTTCACCATATTATTTTTGTCGTGCTCTGAAGGTCTATCTACCATGTTGAAGAAATGTCAGGCTCAGGGATTGCTGTGGAGTACAAGTGAGTCAAAATGGACCATGAGTTAATCACCTATTCTTTGCGGATGATGGCATTTTTTTTGCTTCGGTCAATAGAGGCGAAGCGAGAAGGTAATGGACATGTTAAAGTGTTATGAAGAAAGCTTAGGGAAAAAGATAAATCTAGACAAATCAGCTCTATTCTTTAGTAACAACACTGAAGGTGAGAAAGGGAGGAAATTAGGAACATGTTTGGAGTGCATGAGACAACAAATATAGAGAAGTACCTGGGATTGCTGACAATGGTGGGAAGCGATAAGAGGAAAGCTTTTAGAGATCTTAAAGACCGAATAAGGGTAAGAATGAATGGAAAATGTCAGAGAACGCTTTCATTGGGGGGTAAGGATGTTTTTAGCAAATCCATTCTACAATTAATCCCCACCTATGCTATCTTACTCCTAAGGACACTGTGTGAAGACATAAATAGGTTGATGAATAATTATTGGTGGAGGAGTAATAAGGAGTCAAGAGGAATACACTGGCAGAATTGGAAGGAAATGGCCAAAGCAAAAAAAGGATGGGGGTATGGACTTTAGAGAAATGGAGGATTTCAATAAGGTGCTGTTGGCAAAGCGAGGATGGAAGATTTTAACAAATCCAGGCACACTAGTACATAGAATATTGACAGATAAATATTTCCCAAATGTCTCCTTTCTTGATTCCTAGATTGGTTCACAACCTCATTCATGTGGAAAAGCGTATGGGTTACTACGGCAGTGGAACATTTAGGACTAAGGTGGCATGTAGGAAATGGCAGATCAATAAGAATTTGGACTTATAAGTGGATTCCATCATCTTCTATCTTCAAACCTCAATCATTAAGTGACAACATCGTTGAAACTCAATTGGTGGCAAAATTAATTGATAACAACAGATGTATGTGGGAATGGCATGTGATCCACAAGATGTTCTCAAGAGAGGAAGAAGAAGTGATATGTGGGATTCCTCTGAGTAGACTGGGCAGGGCAAATGGCTTAGTGTGGCACTTTTATAACAAGGGGACATATACAGTGCGAAGTGGCTACATAATGTTATGCAAACTCGCGCAGGAGGATAGAGCTAGGGAAAAAACTAGCAAAGACATACGGAGGAGGCAGAGAGTTTGGCAAGGAATTTAGGAGGCACCAACACCAAAAAAAATTAAGGTATTAACATGGAAGGTGGGAAAAGGTTTCATCCTAGTTATGACAAACTTAGTAAAGAGGAGGATACCAGTGGGGATAATGTGCCAAAGGTGTGACCAAAACCCTGAAACAATTTTATATGCAGTCAAGGAATGCCAAGATGCGAAAGTAGTTTGAGAAAAATTAGGCTTCTAGTTGATAGAGGAATACTATGAGAACTCACTTCATTGGCTTTCTGAGGTAATTATAAATGCAACGCTAGAGACTTTGCAAAGAGTCATGGTTGGCTTGTGGACAATCTGGAACAATATGAACCATGAATACCATGGGGAAAAGAGAAGAGAAACAGAAAGTATGTAGATGAATTTAATACTCCAAATCAGAGACAAAATGGAAATGGTATCGTAGAAATGAGGTGCTGGAAACTTCATGATAGAGGAATAATCAAGGTGAACTTTGATGGTATAGTGGGCAAGGCAAGAAAGAAAGGTGGGGTAAGGGTGATAATCAGGAACGAAGAAGGAAAAGTCCTGGGATCCCATAGTGAGAAACTACCTTGGATGATAGATTCATTTGCAATGGAAGCCGTGGCAATAGTACGTGCTTTTGATTTTGCAAAAGAACTGGGTTTTAGGGAGTTTGAACTGGAAGGAGATATATTGTCGATCATTAACAAACTTTGATCGTGGACTCAGGATATGTCACCCATAGAACCAATAATTGGGGAAGCAAGACAGAAACTGAGTGTACTGCATAGACGTAAAGCATTACATACTAGAAAGACGGGCAACACAGCTGCCTATAGACTTGGTGCAAGGCTTAAAGGTTGATGAAGGTCTGTACTAGGTTGAGATTACCCTACTTTCTTGCATGACATTATTATAACTAATGCAAACATGAGTTATGAGTAAATGAAAAGAAATTTCTTTCTTTCAAAAAAAATATACATAAATGTTAGATGATTGGAAGATACTTTTTTTATCCAAAAGTTAGAGTTGGATTTGGCCCAAGCAACAATAAAAAATAATTAGGTAGTGTTAGAAAGAAAAAAAATAAGATCTCAATATCTCAAATATTTTGGCAGCACTCTAACAAAAGAACTAAATCAACAAAACAACATAGGCAGGTCAAATTTTCACAATTACCACCACATGTTTTGACTTTCAAATTTCCTTGTGCAATATAGTAACTTGAATCATATGGTTCCCTACCCAAAATAATAATTGTGCTGTTATTCATAATTCTCCTCTCTCTCTCTCTCTCCATCCTATTTTTCAAACCTATTCTATGCTACACAGCTTTTCAACAGAGATTACAACCATTAGGTGAATAATTCATTTATCCTCAACAGCAATTCGAGGGTTCAACTGATCCAAAAGTTTGAATCAACAGAGGCTTCTATTAAAAAGTTGGTAATAAATTCTGGCATTGAAAGATTGAAAGCTTTTTGGCAGCTAAAAATCTAAGCTGGCCCTTAGGAAGAAGACTTAAGGGTCATGGTGGTTTTGTAATTTGTCAAGTGAGGAGAAAGAATAAAAATAAAGCTATTTTTGAATTTACAATCCAAACTATCAAGGCAAACATGGAAGAAGAAAACAACACATTATTATTAGATTAGATGTGGTATTATTGAATGTATATAATGGATATTAGCAGGAATATGAGCTCATTGTTTTCTCAAGTTTCAACAAAAATGGACATGCGTTAAAGGAACAGCATTCAAACAAATGTTTACTAATGAAGCATGACTAATAATCAATAAATCAATACAAACTCTCCAACCAAAATTAAAATATGAGTAGATACATTTGATGTAAATTATTCTATTTAATCCTCACCAACTTTAGCCTACTGTATGTAGTTGATGCAAAAGCTATCATACCAGGAATGTTGGAGCTAAACCAGAGCTCAAGAAGAGTTATTTTCCCTCAAATGTTTAGTTGATAGCATACAAATATTTTCCCTCAAATTGTTGGAGCTAAATCAGAACTTCAATGAATCCTAAATTTTACTTATAAGCAGATGGTTCTAAGCCTTTCTATCTCAACCATGAGCTTGCTAAGAACTTCCATTTAGCAGCTAGGTTGCATTAAGGCAAAAATCCAATGAAAGAACCAAATGACACCTGTAAAATTGATGTAACAAAATCAAAAGTCACAAAGAAATACATGTTTGCAAATAGACATGATAAAAGGAAAAGGTTTACTTACAACAAAACCTCTTGTGGTAGAGCTTATTAACTCCATTTTCGCCCTTCTTTCAATCTTGCATAGATCTTCTACCCTGGTTTAATCACTATCTTACAATTGTATGAGTTACTAAGAATTATCACACATTCTAAAGTAATGATTTAAAAATGTCCAATAATAGCTTGAGGACACAAAGGTCTAGTAAGCTAACCTTATAAAGTGATAGAAAAGACAGATCACCATATTCTTCTGGATTGATGCGAACAGTTTTTGGTCTATTAAAGTTTGATATTTCTTTCACAGATTGTTCTAATCTACAATAGAGTAATTTGTTAATCACAACTCTAACAATTGAAAAGGAAATGTCCTAATTTTAAGAATGAATTTGACACCTTTTTGGCCCATTTTGTAGTACAACTTCCATACAGAGATTAAAGCTAGATTCCACAATAAATACCCTTATTACTTAGCTTAACTATCTGCATTCCTTGAAAAGCCCAGAAAATATAAATTTCAACACCTTGGATTGAAGGATTTATAAACTTTTTAAATTGAAAGGTGTCTAAACCACTTACTTTTCAACATAAAAATCCAACTTGGCAAATCAATGCTAGCAAAGAGAAAAAAAAAAAAAGCCTAAATGCCAGCTTACTAGATTTTAAAGTTTATTTTTGAAAACCAAATAGCAATTACTAATATGATATTGATAATAGTAATAAAAAATGTAAGAAAGGAATAGGAAAAAACTAAAGACTTGGATATCACATACATAAGAATGTTAAACTGGTCCTAGCATTTCTGGAATCCCAAGTTATAGAAGTAATCAGATCTGGTATTTGAAGAAGAAAAGTAGTGTTGGTGACAGGGAAATGAGACAATAATGAAAGCCAACAAAGGGAGAGAAAGAGAAAGAAGATTTGAAGAACGGTTTAGTCCAAAAAGTTAAAAAACAAGAGTGCAAAATAAAGTAGTATAACAAACTTATTTTGCGTTTTGCTGTGGCTTTGCTTTGTCGAAGGCTTTGGGTAGAAGTAAAAGACAAAGCGCAGATTCTTTTGCATTGTTATATCCCTATCCAACTAAAGGCCTCAATCCCTAAATAGATTGATCGGGATTTTCAGGTATTTTCCTATATGTTTTTTAAATGGGTTTTTCGAGCAATGACTGGCAAAAAAGAGTCAAGGGAATGGCAACATTGGTAAAAGTAGCCATAACAATGGAAAAAGAGGTGGCAACATCGCTAACAGAAGAAGGAAGAAGTTGACAAAATGGGCAGAGATGCTGTCGAGGAGAAAATGAGAGAAAAAGAGATAAAACCTGAAACTGAAGGTTTTCAAACCCTTTAAACAAATAGCTCAAGACATTACTTCAAAGATGACAAACAGTTGTAAAATAATTTTTTATGACCCAAATTTAACCTTTAATTTTTTTAAGACTTTAAAAACGTGTATAATAAAATAGAGGTAAGGATTGCTTTTATAATATTTATAGATATATGTTAGTTATAACTTTTTCAATAGAAACATGTAAAATTTCAAAAGAAAAAAAAAAAGAAAAATTTATGGAATAATTCAAATAAATATGTATATATCTATTGATTTATTTATTTTCAAGTAAATTACCACTGATGATTGCCATAACATATAAGTTTATAAATATATAGTTAGACTCAATTTTAGGAATTCTCACTAATCTTTTTTATATAAATAAATAAGTGTAAATTTTTATGGTCCAAATTTAACCTTTAATTTTTTTAAGACTTAAAAAACGTGTATAGCAAAATAGAGGCAGGAGATTGCCTTTATGGTTTTTATAGATATATGTTAGTTATAACTTTTTCAATAGAAACATGTAAAATTTCAAAAGAAAAAAAAAATTTATGGAATAATTCAAATAAACATGCATATATTTATTCATTTATTTATTTTCAAGTAAATTATCACTGATGATTGTCATAACATATAAGTTCATAAATATATCGTTAGACATAACTTTAGAAGTTATCATCAATCTTTTTTATTTAAATAAATAAGTGTGATTAGTTATCTAATGAATCTATCATTTTATAGATATCTTAAGCTTGATTAACGCTTTTAAAAGAATATGTTCTGATTTGTGTTTCAAAACTAAATTCAGGAGTTTAGTTACGTATGGAGAAAGTTATATTACCTCCACACGTCTATCTAAAATAAAGTACAACTTAATTTCAAATTATCTTAAGGATTTTTGTTCTAATGGTCTTTTGTTAAATTTTAATGCCTAAATATTGGAAATAACTTTCAAGATTTCTTCATTAATTTGATAGAATTTTTAAAAATACTTTCTCATCTCTCAAAAGTATTTAAGAATCCCATTTATTTTTTTTAAATAGGCTTTGTTGTTGAGAAAATGGTTCAATCATTTATGTCTTTATTAAGATTTGCTTTATCAAAAAATATATATAAATTTTCCATTATTTATGCCAAATTTAGAAATATTTTCTCACTTAAAAATTTTTCAAAAAAATTAACCATTTAAAATTTTTAAATTTTCATCATTGGATAATTGTTATTTATTCTCAAAATTGTATAAAGTTTATTGTTATTATTTTTTAATTTTGAAAATGAATACTAATTATTATTGTTGAAATTTTATCTAAAATTTTTCACAGTTTGGGTCAAATTTTAAAAAAAAATATCACCTAGAAATTTCTTAGAAATTATCCATTTCTAATTCTAAGAATTTTATTTTTTGATAATTACCATTTATTTTTCAAGATTTTGTTAAAGTTTTATTTTACCTTTAATTTATTTAGATTTATTTTTATTAATCAAATTAATAATTTTACCTAATTATAAAAATTCCTAGCCTAAGTAAAATATGATAAAAATAACATAAAATAAACCAAGTAAACATATAAAATAAAAATAAACAAAAAAAGCATAACCTACGGTATGGATTGGATCAGGTTGATGCTTGAAAAATTGAGAATCATCATCAAAATCTGGAAGTATCATAGGAATCCTTGTGGGGAACTTTTAAATGTCACCATAATCTAAAAATCTTGTCAAAGTCTAAAAATCTCGTTGAAAAATTATCGGAAACTAAAAAAAGCCTAAATTTTGAATTTGAATTGCCTACAACTTTTTCTCTCAAATTATCCTTTGTGATTGTTGTATGTTAATTGTGTAAACTTGCATGGTATATATAGGAGCCTAGTCCCAACTTGATAAGGACTCTAACTCAATCAAAGATTATTTTAAAAATTATCTTTAAAAGAATCTTAAAATTTTAGCCATATCCTTACCCCATTTTTTTTTTTCAAAATCAAACTCTTTACATTTTATCAATACATTATGTATCTGACAAAGATATTGATTTCGAAACAAAACTCTTGAATTGAATGAATTCTTATCTTCCAAGAAGTCAATCTCATACACACCCTTTTACAACTCTTTTCATTTTTAATTTTATTTTTTGTTTAAAAAAAAAGATAAAACAAAGCAAAGATAATTAAGATATAAATAAAGATATTTAGGAAATAAATCACTAAATAAAAATTACTAATGAAGATAAATAACGCATAAAGATAAATGAAACTAAATAAAAAAATTAAAATAATAAAAAAATTGAGTTTTTAAATTTAGACCCAAATTGGTCCAAATAATATAAAAAATCAACATGTCCCAAATGTAAGTTAGAATTTTTAAATTCAGACAAAATGTGGTATCTACAGATACCCCTCTTTGTGCTTTTTCTATGAAACAAGAATAATGTAAAAATATAGATATCCATTACATCCAGGTATGATTGAATAATATTTCAAAGATTCTCATCTGAAATAAAAATTTGTAATTTGACTATGAGCAAAATTTTTTAAATTTCACATACTAAAAGTCAAAGATTCTCAATTGAAAATTCAAATATTCATAATTGAAATTAAAGGATTTGCAATTTGAAGTTCAAAGGTCCAAAATTTGAATTTCTAAATCTCTCAATTAGGAATTCAATGATTCATAATTAAATTCAAAGGTTTGCAAATAAATTCAAATATTCGCAAAATATTCAAAGATTCACATCAAAGATTCTTAAAAGGTTTTAAGGTTTCTAAAAGCTTCAAAAATTTGCAAAAAACCAAAGATTCGTAAGAAATCAAAGATTCACAAATATTTAAAGATTCACAAAAGACCAAAGATTTGCAAGAAATCAAATATTCACAAGAATTTAAAAATTAAAAATAATTTAAATATTCACAAAATGGCTTAAAGATTCGTCAAAAATCAAAGATTCATAAGATTTTAAAGATTCATAATAATTCAAAAATTCATAAGAATTTAAATATTCGTAAGAATTGAAAAATTCATAAGAATTCAAAGATTCAAAGATTTGCAAGGCTCAAAGATTCATAAGAATTCAAAAATTCGTAAGATTCAAAAATTCAAAAGAATTCACAAATTCATAAATTTAAAAAATTTGCAAGAATTCAAAAATTAGCAAATTTTAAATATTCACAAAAATTTGAGATTCACAATTGTAATTTTAAAATTTTGCAATTATAAAGATTCATAAATAACTTCAAAATTTTGCATTTATAAAGATTCGCAAATAATTGTGAAAATTCACTAATGAAAATTTAAAACTTCACATCTAAAATTCAAAAATTTATATTCAAAAAAATTTTAAGATTTACATTCAAAATTTCAAAAATTCATCTTTGAAAATTGTTAAAGATTCTAATTCGAAAATTTTTAGATTTTCACACCTGAAATTTCAAAAATTCACATTGAAAAAATTTTGGAAATTCGCATTCAAAATTTCAAAGATTCATATTTGAAAAATTTTAAGATTTTCATTCGAAAAATTTAGAAATTCACATTCAAAATTTAAATATTCAAATTCGACAATTTTAGAGATTCACATCTAAACTTCAAAGAACATATTCAAAACTTTAGAGATTCACATCCAAAATTTAAAGATTCACATTAGAAAATTTTAAAGGTTCACAACCAAAATTCAAATATTCACATTAAAAAATTTTAGATATTCTTATCCAAACTTTAAAGATGCATATTTGAAAATTTTAGAAATTTACATCCAAAATTCAAATATTCACATTCGAAAAATTTTAGAGATTTACATCCAAAATTCTAAAAATTCGCATCTGAAAGTTTTAATGATTATATAGGAAGATCTTGCAAATCATTCTTATCATTGAAAATGTTTCATTAAAATAAAGGCTCCATAATTTTAAAATTTGAAAAAGGTACCCGAAGGTTTTGAAAATCATGCCCAGACGTCTTACTGATCATTCTTATCATAAAGAAAACTCCTTTAAACAACGACTCAATAACTTTAAATTTTGAAAAAATTTCTCCTTACCCGAGAAGAAATAAAATTATCTTAATTATAAAAGTTTTCCTTATTCGAGAGTTGACTAATCCAAATTCTTCCCACCAAAGTTAAAATTTTGTATGCAATAAATGTCATGATAATGATATAAATGCAATCTAAATGATGAAAATGCAATAATCTAATTAATAATTTGGATTCTCACTATAGGATGCAAATGCATGTTCTAAACAATAATGCAAATGCAATAATCACATCTAAAATTTATGTGCTCACCAATGATGTAGATGTGTGGTTCAAGCAATAATACAAATGCCATATTCAAAATAATAATTCAAATGTTTGTTAAGTGATACAGATGTATGTCCAAATCATGATGCAAATGCAATTATCAAAACAATTATTGAAATGTTCGCTAAGTGATGCAAATGCATCTTCAAATCATGATACAAGTGCAATACTCAAAATAATAATCCATATACTCACTAATAATACAAATGCATGGTTTAAATAATAACGCAAATGTAATACTCAAAACAATAATTTATATACTTAATGTAAATGTATGTGCAAACAATTATGCAAATGTAACATTCAAAACAATGATTCTACTTGCTCCAGAAAAGTTACTCTTGTTATATTGGTTTGAAAATCATCTCTTTTTTTTTTCATCTATCAAAAGCCCCATATGCAAGAATTCAAATTTGAATGGTTTTCAAACTCCCAAAAGAATGGCAACAACAATTAGCCAAAAAAAAAAAATCAAACGAATCTTTCCTTTAAAATGTTCATAATAAAATTATAGGCTTATCGAATGACAACAAATATTTGCCCCATATAACTATTTTTCATAATCAAGATGAAAATGAATCAACCCTTCATTTTAAAAATAAGTGATCAAATCTCTTGAAAACTAGTGATTATTACCTATAATGAAAGGGGTGAATCACAACTTGGTCATTCTCAAATGATGAAATGGTTTGGCATATCAAGATCTTAGTTATCAAAGGAGACTTAGT